TAATTTTATTTTCTGTTTAATTCACTAACCTCCAAAACAATTGTGAAAGATAATTGTAAAAGTGAATGTTCAAATGTTGTTTCTGATTTTAATAGAAATTGCATTTGTGTTTATTAGAATCTAGTACAATGGTTTTATGCTATATCTTTGAGTAAATAGTTAATTTTATTTTCTTGTTTAATAATGTTTTCTTGCTGAATCCTAGCAAATTTTTTTATCATCCACTGTAAAATGTAAATATCTTTTTAGTGAATTGAAGAAAAATCATATTGAAAAATCTTGTTCTCTTGTGATTACAGAAGAATACACTTTAAATGAAAAGTAGCATAATGAATCCATTTAGTGCCAAAACAAGAAGATATCAAGACACAATATGATATAATCTGATATAATCATATTGTGATACCTTCCAGTAATATATAAATATAAAATGTAATTCATCTTTATGTTGAACTAAGCTTCCCTTCAAGTTATATATTCTCTTATTAAACTTATTRAATGAGTTAGTCACTCCATTTCACAAATGAGAATACCAAGGCTGAGGATCTAAGATGTYTGCCTTACTCTGAAGCCTCCCCGCTCCCCGCCCCCGCAGGGGAGCACTTGGGTCCAGAAACAGCAGTGATGACGTCCCTGAGAAATGGGAAGAGGAGAGTGCTGAGTAGCACCCAGGTGATGACCACTCCAGCAAAACCTGAGGGACTGTGGGCCCTGGCCTTCATAATATATTGAACAACCTTTGATACTTTGACCCCAGGTTTTCCTTATCACAGAAACTTTGAAGTTATTTGTTTTATGATATTTATTCTACCCTTTTATGCCAATTATTTACCAAAAAATACTTCTTTTACTTGAAACTATTCTTTTAATACAAATGGATACACATCTACTAAGCACACACTATGGACAAAGTACTTTAATGAAATTCAAAGTGGAATGAGCTACAGTTCTTTCCCTGCAGGAATTCACAACACAGTTGTCACRGGAAACATAGGTACAGTGTTGGAGATGCCTCTGGGCTTCCAACCACTGAACCCTAGGCACTCAATCCATTATCTTTACCATTAATGCTACCAAATGTCAAGRCCCTCCTATAATTTCCTGTCCCCAACCAAACTTCACTCAAAACTAACTTTAGCAAATTACATACTTTTTCTATATTTTCCTATCACGATGCCATAGGGAAGTATTCCTTAAACATTAACATGTATGCCAATCCCCTGACAGCTTGCTAAAATGCAAATTGACTCATGGACTCACAGCAGCACATGAGATTCTGCAATTTTAACAATATTCTAGGTAATAAAATTGCTGCTGATTAGTGGACACAGAATCACCCAGACATATTGTAAAGAATTTAATTGTAAACCACAATGAATATTCAAATAAGAAGGGGCAAATACAGAAATGCTAATACTTCCAGTATCTCTCGGGATTCTTCCAGTACAGACCAAGGCTACATTTCCTGGCTCCTCCTTAGAAAATTCCTAATATTCTTACTTTACATTCTTGTGCCCACAGATAGATATTATCAATCACCTAAATAACTCCAAAGGATTCATATAGTTGCTATGAAATATATTCTTATTTTTCCAAAGGAAGAAAAAACCTGTGGGTATATTAGATGCATAATGACTTGATTGTTTGGTTAGTTAATTTAAGCTAATTACTAAGAAGTAAATGGAACAATTTCCTTTTTGGATGGAACAATATCTTACTCCTAGAACAATTTATTGTACAGAAAATGGAACTTCCATCTTTATCCTATCACTTAGACTTCAGACCCAATTTTTCTAAGACTTTTACTCTAATCTGCCTAGTTTTTACACAATACACGATGGGATTCATCAAGGGTGGTACCAGCAAGAAAGCATCTGCTATCAAAATCATAGCTAAGGGAGACTTATGCTTAGCAAAGCGATGCATGGTAGCCAAGGTGATGATTGGCACATAAAAGATGAGCACAGCACAAATGTGAGACACACAGGTGTTAAGAGCTTTGAGCCGCTCCCCATGGGAARCAATACCCAATACAGTCTTTAGGATGAACACATAGGAAACAGCAATGAATACACTGTCAGACATCATGCAGAGTGCAACAAACAACCCATAGTAAAAATTAACCTTATTGTCAGAGCAGGCCAGCTTCATGACATCCTGGTGGAGACAGTAGGAGTGGGATAACAGGCGTTTATTACAGTATCTGAGTCTCTTTAATGTAAAAGGAAGAGGAAGCACTAAGAGAATGCTTTTAACAGCAAATACTAGTCCAATTTGTACAACTCTSGAGCTGGTGAGGATAGAGCTATATCTCAGGGGGTGACGAATGGCTACAAAGCGATCAAAGGACATGATCAGGAGCACTGAAGACTCCATGTCTGTGAATCCATGGATGAAGAATTCCTGGGCAATGCATGCATCAACAGAAATCCCCATGGTATTAAACAAGAAGATACTCAGCATAGTGGGGATGGAGGAGCAAGACAGGCCCAGGTCAGATAGGGCCAGCATGGAGAGGAAATAGTACATAGGCTCATGCAGGGAAGGCTCTGTTCTGATGACACAGAGGATGGTGCAGTTGCCCACGATGGCCATTAGGTACATGAGGCAAATAGGGATGGAGATCCAACCATGCATGTGCTCAAGCCCTGGGATCCCAATCAGTAGGAATGTGGAGACTTCAACCTCTGAGGTATTCGGAAGAAACATCTCAAATATGTCTTGTTTTGCTGATCCTGGAACTAAAAATATAACAGATGAATATTTTCTCTTAGCTATATTCACTGAGCAAAACTAAATTTAATTGTGATTTAAATTAAATATATATAAATCTATATTTATTCTTAGATATGTTTCTGAACAGTTCTACAGTTAGGAAGACCTCTGTTTTGAAACCACAAAGATTTATACATTAAGTAAACTAAATAGGATACTCTGTGATGTGAAAGGGCTTTGATATCATGACTGTGGTGTGGTCATGAACTCACACAAACCACAGATATAAAGGAGTAGTGGTTAAAGGAGGCCCAAATCCTAAATTATTGTTCATGGTATAGGTTTGTGTAAATATAAAATGAGCATTGCAGAGGTCTGCAGACAACAATGTGGACTCAAACTCAGCCCGTGGCCTGATGTGCAAACTATGAGCTCTGTAATGCTTTTAAAGAGTTGCATTTTTAAAAAATGACAAGGAAACACAAAAGCAAGTGAGATATGTGTCCTGATAATTATAAGATATTTACATTCTGACTATTTGCAGAAAGTGAAGGACACATGCACGCACACGTACACACACATACATACACGAACATCAAACCATGGTACTGTGAGTGAATATGATGGAAATGGAGAATGGGTCAAGAGGAACTTCAGATTTAAGGTCAATATTTTATTTCTTTCATTCAAAAGATAAAAAATAAGACACATGAAGTAAAAAGACAGATGCTTAAGATTTTCATCAAAATCTTGAAAATGTAGGTATTACTTCCTAAACAACTCTGTATTCTTGAAATCTGCACCCTTATCAATTTCTTAGTGAGCACTGCTCCCACAAATATAGACCCCCAAAGCTCAGAGAGATCTGAGTACCAAGCTGCCAGAACCCGACAGCTGCCTGCAGCAGGGCAGGATGAGTACAGCCTCTCGGAGGACAGAAGGACTCTGACAACAGCCACCATTAGGTAGGCAGCAAGCGGCTTTTGGTGGGGCACAGAAAATGGTGAAGAAGCAGCTGGCATGCATCAGTACTGACCTCTTCGTGGGTACTCTGAGCATTTTGCAGGACAGAGAAAGAGAATTTATCTGTATAGAAAAAATTAACTGGTGATGGTTGTAAATAGAAACCAGTGACGAAGAGAAAGAAAAGAGTAGGTAGCTTTTCTCTGCTGAGAACGTTTTGTAAGGACCTGTCTCAAGTTGACTTGAGAAGGAGGTTTTGTGGTATATGTGGGCACATCATATGGAGAAAAGAAGTGATAAGGCTGGATGAGGAGGACATATCTCCCATTCATAGGGCTGAGTGTCCATTTGTCTCAGCCTTTCATATGTGGTCAACACTTCCTTGGCACGTACCATAAACCACAGCTGCTTACAGCACTCACAGCCTTTCCATGCAACTGCTGCTGGCCCTGCTCAGAACAGTCACAGCTCTTGCCTGTCTCTCCCTAATCTTGGATTCCTTTCCCAGTTGTTGGCTTCTCTGTGTTTGCCCTTTGGATTGGTGACCAATTCAGGTTCTTGTCCCTGGCATATGGGCCTTATCCTCCTCATAATCCTGGTGTCATCATCACTGACTAAGTTTCTTGGGTAACTCTCCTTGTCAGAGCTCTGCACCAAGGAGTGGGATTCAGAGAGAGAAATGTACTAACACACCTTGCATTCTCTCCTCCAAGTCCCCTCAAAATAAACCACCACCCAGGTGCCATGTCTGAGGCCATTCTTGACAAGCTCCCATCCTAACTGAGGTAACTGAAGAAACGTTACTATTGATGATTTTAAGCTTTTAGACTACATTCATCATGGAAATGCAAATAAATAGCCTTACCCTACATATGGATGTCCTAATCTTTTCAACCATAAATTCTTCCATAAAATTAGCTTGATTACTTAGGAAGACTTTTTACCTCCAGCCTTCTGAAAGACATAGGGTTGATCTCTATGAATAGCAATGTTTTCATTAGAAAATGTAATATTTCCCACTAGGCATGGTAGCTGTAATCCCAGAGACTACAAGTTTGAGGCCAGCCTCAGCAACTTAGTAAGACTCTTAGCAACTTAGATAGACTCTGTCTCAAAACATTAAAAAAAAAAAAAAAAGGACTGGGGATGTAGTTCAGTGGTAAAGTAGCCCTGGGKTCAATCCCTAGTACCAAAAAAAGAAAAAGAAAACGTGTTTTCCTGGGATGTTTAATGTGGGACTACAGGTCAGCTACCAGGCTCATGGCTGCTTTATTCCAAACCGAAGGTGGAAAGGCTCCAAATTCTGCAGCTTCTACTGGTAATCTGATCTAACATGCTGGTGGGAATCCACATCTTATTTATAATCTCATATTATTTTTAGCATAAGCACATAGTCTTGAGAATTTACAGACACCTAGTGTCCTGGAAATATGACACTACTTGCTTCATCACTGACTGTCAAATAAAGAGCTTGCCTAWGAAAATGAAGACAGCAGGCTGTTAATACTCAACAGATATTATCCAGAGGAACTAGGCAGCAAGGCATTCATAAAAAKATATCATGCTGCCATGGACCCCATTGCTAGTCCAGTGGGCTCGTAAATGGGATCATAATGACAGAAATACAGWTAAAATTAGTCAAAAACATAATTCTCTTTTATTAGGACTTGTCATGGTAAAGGATTTGAAAAACAGTGTTATCCTTATTCCTATAATATTAGCATTTTTGCCAATTTTGCCTCACTGTGACCAAAAGATCTAACAAYTTAAGAAAAGGAAAGCTTTATTTTGGCTAATAATTTCAGAAGCTGAGACCATGGTTAGTCAACGCCGCCATTGCTCTAGGCACAAGATGAGGCAGCAAGCACATCAGGGTGGAAGGGCATGGTAGAGGAAAGCAGCTCAGAGCACRACACCCATGAAGCAAAGAGAGCTCCACTCACAAGGACAAAATATAAACCCCAGAGGCACACCAATGCAATGACCTACTTCCCCCAGCCACACCCTACCTTCCTATAGTTACCACCCAGCTAATCCATCAGTAGATTCATCCACAGRTTAGGTTACAGTTCTSATGATGTTTCATCTCMGCACAATCTTGAATTGTCTCACACATACAGTTTTAAGGGACACCTCATATCCAAACCATAAGGGTTAGCAGAAAAAAAATACATTTCCATCTTCTATAAAATTTTCTAGCACAGAAGGAATATTTTTGCAACCTCTCTCCAGCTGCCAGTAATCCTTTGGCAATATCTGGAGACATTTTTGGTTGTCATAATTGGAAGAAGGTGTTACAGTCAACTAGAAAGCAGAGGTCAGGGATGGATGCTGCCAAAATCCTAAATTCACAACAAGGAATTATCTAGCCTCAAATTTCTAGAGCACCAAGGCTGAGAAACCCTATTCTAGAGCATAAAAGATGAAGAATTATTCATTTAATTACCAATGAAGACACATGCAAACATTACAAACAACATATTAGCAAGTCAGATGCAAACTTCCAAAGCCTATTGCGTTTCACATTGTAGACTTTGTTCTATGAATGAAAAATTATTCATATTAAGGAATCCATCAATGGTATGATTATACTAATTTTCTGTAGAGACAAGGAAAACCCATAAAATCAAATGGTGATTCAAGATAAAATTCTTAATATTTATGAAGAAAMTAAAAGTTCTCTAATAAGGAGTACCTTTCAGAAATTCTGTGAAAATTTGTTTATTAGTGATCTATTGAATATATTTTCATCAAAATAGTTAACAAGATGCTACATCTACTATCACAACTACTATTAACAGTACTTCAAACAAAAAAAAACACAAGCAAATAAAAGAATCTATATGTTTGAAAAGAAACAAAAAAAATATTAAGGTTTAGTTGGTTAATTCCTTTCCTGAAGATAGGAATCTTTCATAGTAAGCAGATAGGAATTCTCCCATTGAGAAACACATAAATTCAAAGCATATCATTCAATGGCACCCAAGAAATTTAATAGATAATGATGGAGGTATCCTGAAATGTATTCTGCACACATTATAAGGATGCAAATGTATTCAGCATGATACAGCAAATAACAAAAAGGCAGAGCTTGCTGGGGCATGGTGGCACACTCCTATAATCCAGTGATGCAGGAGGCCCAGGAAGGAGAATGACAAGTTCAAAGCTACCCTGGGCAACTTATTGAGACCTTGTCTCAAAATACAAAATAAAAATGGCTGGGGATGTAACTTAGCTGTAGAACCCCTGTATTCAATCCCCAGACCCATAAAAAAATTAAAATTAAATTAAAAAGTAAAAGAAAAAAATTGAAAAGTCAGACTTTTCATATCAAAATTTATCAAGCTATTATAATTAATAAAGTATAATGCTGACTAAGCTATAAAATAAAAGTTTCAAGAAATGAATATTTCCAAAATACTGTAAATGAGAATAAAAAATATGATGCAATCATACCTCATATCACTGGAGAAAAGAACAGGATGTTATAAATGAGGTTGGAACAATTAACTGATACTTTTTTGAGTTGCTGGGGATTAAACCATGGCCTCCACACTCAACCACTGAAGTGCACCCCAGCCCCACTAACACTTCTTAAAAACAGTTAAAATTTCCTCTTTTACACATCCTTGCATTGGATTTAAAAGTTCAGGGCAAAGATAGCCTTATAATAATACTAGAATTTAAAAAAAGGAAATATATTTATGACTTTCTTAGGATTACATTTAAGCCATTATATAAAATATCTGCACTAAAAACAAATATTGATGCAAATATATATGTAAAGAAAATTAGAAGGAAGAAGGTAAGAAAATTACTCCAGGACCTCATCATCCTTGCCATTGTGGTGGTGAAGCAAGTATTGATCTTGGCAACTTGCTTCAAAACATATTTATTAATTCAATGAAGAGCACACACCTTGTTGACTTTTCTTAAAACTTAATATAATTGGTAGAGTGGATCAGTACTTGTGAATCACACATGCAAACTAAATCACTTGGGAAGCCTTTTAAAATATGAAGCCTAGGTCT